GTATAACACTATCTTCACCGGACACCATCACATTATTTTGAATCACATAGAGGCTTGCAGTTTACAATTATGCAAGTTGTTTACACATGATAAATGTATCCCCCACCGGACGCCATCCCGATATTTTTTTAGTGATTTCGGGGCTGAAAATCTGAAATGTTATATGTTAAGCCTAAACGACATATTGTCCCCCGCCGGACATCTTTTCGCTATTTCTTTTTCTATATCAGAATATGATTTATTTATAATAAATTACAACTTTTCGTAAAGCTGAATAACTTTATTTTAAATTTGCACTCAATTATGTTTTTATCTAGGTATGTTTTTAGTATACTCGCTCACAGGGTGTTGCTGAGGGCGCCAGGAACGAGTATACTCGTCAAATCGGGGGAAACATTCTAGCGTTTATAACTTCTTTATTATACATTGTAGAACCACAGATTCAACGGCTGGTAGTTCGGGGAAGATACACCTAGACGATGACGTACAAATGACATATGTATGTCTGTTGTGTTATGTTGCCGGTAGTACACTCGAGCGGTACAAGTGGGGGCGCCCGTTGAACATATACCAACCCATGCTAAAAGTGGACGAGATAACTCATAGTCAGTAAAAAGTTCTATAACAGTGCCATCGACGAGTATACTCGCTCCCTAATATTTTCCCGCCAATTTATTAGACACTTCATTTTGATGACATATGACTAGATAAAATTTCAAAAAGGTATGTTTGTACATGTAAACTTGTTTTGGCACACGGGAAGGAACCTTAAAAAAAGTCTGGCAGTCAACGTGTTAACTAATGTTTAATGATAATTCTTTTATTTATTCATGCTCTGACAGTTTTAAATGTATATCTGTTTTTATGGTCGGCATATCCTTACTTACTTGTTTTATCATTTGTTGATTGTCTGCGGTAAAGGTAGACCAATAAATAATTATATATAGTAAATTAATATTTTATATTAAATATACTTATGTTTGTCCATACAGATGGGGCATATACTGTCTATGCTGTACAATGTACTTGAGTATGCTGTGAATGCTGTGTCATTTTGGCGCCTCAGTGAACTCCAATGTTTGATACAGGATGTTGGCCTAGATACAGTCAAGTGGACAAAAATATTGAGGGAAGTGTTAGGCGTGAATGACATTTTACAATTAAAAGCTATTGCACAGAATCATGAAGCAATCCGAAAGGTAATTGAACGTGCAGACAAATACGAAATAAGTGGGCTGTATGAACTGTTTGATATTACTCAAGATGAAGAACCATCAATCACAGAATCAGAAAATAATTTATGCGTGAGGCTCAAAGAGTTAGGATTGGATGGACGCCATTGGCTTAGCATACTGAAGACTACATTTGCAGTGTCAAACATGGATTCAATTAAACATATCGGCCTGGATAGCTTGAATGATTTAAAACATGTTTGTCAAACAAGAAATGAATTGATGAAACTCCAAAAACTTTTTGGAATAAATAATGAGTATCCTTCATTTGTATTGCATTTTGTTAAAATACAAAACCGTATTAGATTAATTATGGAATGTATTAAGCAAATCAAGTCATTACTTTCAAATGGCAAAACAAGATCTTGTAAAAGTGTTCATGCCAAAGAACAATCACTCAGGGAAATCCTTCAGCTAACATCAGCAAACTGGATACGGCCGAACACCTCACTTGAAAAAGTACTAAATGATTTGTCCAAATTGAGCTGCTTTTTAGAGGCACCTATACCTACACAAGATCTGCTGCCCTCCCATCTTATTCAATCATCTTCTTGTGGGGTTTGTTTGAAAGGCGTTCTTTACACTGGAAATTACATTTCGTCTGCCAACTATCCAGTTTTAAAAGCTCCCTCAACGGTTCGTCTCAATGGTTCAAATTTATCTATAACGGAGGTGATTATCGATGGAGACGATGAGCACGTGAAATCGTTTATTGAACATACAGATACATATGGATGTGTTTCAGAATATGTTAATCTACCGTCTAGTAACGGCAATAAATCGACTGCAAAGATGAAAAAATATCCAATTGCGTCATTCACATTTAGAAGAGACGAGCTGAGGTTTAGTGATAGTGCTCTAGAACATCTGAAAAGAATCGGTACAATGATAGACGTTGACGAAATCAGAGCGATGGAATGCTGTAAAGAGTTTCTAAACATTTATGGATCTCATATTTTTCAAGGGCCTTTTCATTTCGGTGGAGTTCATTGGATAACTGCAACAGGTTCAACAGTAGTCGCTCGTGGGGATGTTGATACACAGGCAATCAATCTTGAATCTATAGCAGCATTCGAAAATGCTCCATTAGGCAGATTTGGTCTTAGTTCTGAGTATGATGCTAAAAAAGAAAAAGGGAAAATTAGAATAGAATACAAGATCCGTAACTCTAAATGTTCAGTAATAAAGGCTGTAACTTCCGGTGGTCATAAAACATTCTCTTATTTGACAACATGGAAATTGGGAATGTCGGCAGATATTTCATCATGGAATGTCATTGACCGAGGAACGGGTTTTACTGTTGCGATTTGGGAAATTCTAAATGAAAACTATTCATCACATATTGAGAATGCTTCTACCATAAGTTATTATCTTTTTAAAGCTTGGGTGGATATGTCAAATGTGCATCATATCTTTAATATTTCATCTGAATTACAAGATCTGATAAACGAGGCCCGTACATACGTAACATCTTTAGAAAATACTGATGCGACAGGTCGCCAACGCTCAATTCTTGAAAATCTACTGAAAATAAAAGAAAATGTTATCAAGCATACAAGAAGCATCAGAGCATGGTCTGATATTTTCCTTGGAAGCAAAGCTTTTGACATCGTAAATGTTCTAAAACGTTTAATGAATTCCCCTAAACAAGATACACTTGCAATGGTTTGTAAGGTTATTAACGACAACGATATTTTAAACCAACCATGTGTATCAAATGACAAGCTTAATGAATATCGTAATTGGCTACACATTTTAGGAAAAGTAAAAGAGGAGAGAAATGGTAGAAACAACCAAGAAATTTCAGAATTCAGCGACTTCACTCTACTTCTGGAAAAGAGTATAATAGATCTTGAAGACCAAACAGAGCACACATCGTCATATGTCGCAGCGTATCTGTCGACAGCAGTAATTCGACTTCTCGATATATTGAAACGTCAAAATCGGCTATCAGATACTAAGTTCCTTTTGGCCCTGACGACACCACTGGGGTTTAATGAAACAACAGGATTCCTGCATACAAAATTGACTATCCAAGATATCAACAACATTTTAATTACGGCTAAAAACAACGTTTCGACATATACAAATATAAACGACGAGAAAAGAAAATCAGTTTTTATCTTCTCTACGCTTTTAGAATTGACAATGCTAACTGGCGATTGCTCTAACTTAAAACACAAACTCAGCAAATCAATAAATGACCTACCAAGTGAGGTCAGATACAAAATAAATTCTTTGGAAAAAGAAGATCCTGAAAACTGGATGAAAATTGAAGTATACCTTCAGCAATATTATGGACAATTAAATAGCCACGATCAAGATATAAGCCTGCGCAGTTCATTTTACAAAGTCATGCACTGCGACAAAGAGACATATGGATCAAGAAATATCATTCCAAATATCTATGGATTAAAACCCCAATGCCCTGACATCATTAAAATGTTAAATTTAGAAAAGTATTTTCCAAAGAAAATATCCCGCCAGAAAGCCTTAATGGTTTCAGAAAATGTAATTTCAAGCGATGATCTTCAACACATAAGAAACATTCCATGGTACTTGTTGCAAAGCATTATCCTGTGTAATTACGATGGACTATTTTTCGAACCTAATCGAACGTCTATGAATTATTCCGGTGGAAAAACATTTTCAGCATTACTGAATACACCCGCAACAACAAGAAAAGCGAATAGCACAACTGATATTCAGTTTAATCCTTCTGATGTACTGGTTGCTCTGTTTATGTGTGCCGATGACTTCTTAAGGCAATTAATCATGGAGAAACTAACGATGTGTCAGTTAAGTATTCCTTTACTTCTTCCAGTAAATATTGAAGGTTCACACAGTTGTGAAATGCTTCTTTGGGCGACAAGAACTATCAAGAAACAATGGAAAACTTACTCAGGAACATCGTGTGAAAGATCGATGTCTTCGCATCCCATTCCAATCGTGTCTGCACTGCGCATTGGCAGGCTTTCCAAATCAAAATCCAAGATGCTCAACGCTGTTATCAACGATCAGAAACATGACGTTTTCTTTCACTACGGAAGTAATGGTGGTAATATTGAAAGAACTCTATCGACCGGTTTATTAGAATTGACATGGTACCTTCCAACTGGTAGAAGTCGGGATAAATTTGCAGATGCTCTAGCGATTATGAATTTACGAGGAAATGCATCTCATCTTAAAGATCAGACCGCCTTTTTAAGGGAGGTATCATTTGCAACCATTGCTTTTATCACCCCTGACATGCTTGATAAATATGAATCTGATTTACTTGAGTCGTTGTACCAGCAAAAAGGCTACTTAGTTATTGTGTCGGTAGGCCCCCCAGGTAAAGATATGACAAAGTTACTTCTTTCTCTAGAGCAACGGTATTCTAAAGGTCAGGATCCACCAAAACAATCAGTATTAATATATTCTTCTGAAAAAAATGAGTTACAAATGAGTGGAGAAATTAGGAGTACTCTTAATTATCTGCTCTCGAAAAAACGTTATGACGTACCGGAACAGAGTATAGACGGGTGTAGCGCTGTATGGAGAAACATTGGTTTCTACCTTGATGAAGATACAAAGGTATGCTTAGATGCGAAAGCAGACGCTGAAGAAATGTTGACAAGTTTACAGCATCACACTGGTGACAATGATAATGCTGAAGAAAAAATAAAATTATTACCTTTGCAAATGATTGCAATTGAAATTGCTGAAAGAAATAGAGAACTATGCCAATTAAAACAGAAAGGAAATATGGAAACTGAACAATATATTGACAAAGTACAATCAGATCTCAATCTGTTACGAACCAAGCAAAAATATTATTGCAGCTGTTTTTCAAACCTGATAAAAATATTCATGAAGTCTTTTTCATATCTACCGCTAAAACGAAAATATTTCTATTGCTGGGTTAAAATAATGGCTGATCAGTGCAGCATCAATCAGTTGCAGCCAGTACGCGAGGAGTATAATGCCAAATGGAACCAGTTATGTAACGCTGTATACAAAAACCAAAATAAGCCGACTCCAGAAATAGAATCCTTAAAAAAAATCCTTGATGAGCTGCAGCAGAAACTTACAAATCTCTCAGTAGGCTTGGAACATTTTAATAGAGAGATTGGACAAATCTACGAAATGGTATTGCATTTCAAGTTACTAACTTCATCGTATTCTGTTCAGCGATTTCCAATGGTTGCCGCCGATATGTTACTTGAAGGACATCCGTTGGAATTAATGGATGGTGATGCGTCGCATGTTCCTATTAAATGGATAAAAGATGTAATGTCGTGCCTTAAAGACAAAATGGGAAATAAACGGTTGTTCGTGCTGTCTGTATTAGGTGTACAGAGTACTGGCAAATCCACCATGCTAAATGTAATGTTTGGTTTACAATTTGCCGTAAGTGCTGGTAGGTGTACCAAAGGTGTTTTTGCCCAGCTAGTTCAGCTACACCCAAACCTACAACAATCAACAAAATGTGATTATATCATGGTAGTTGATACAGAAGGTCTTCGTGCTCCAGAGTTAGCAAGCATTGAACATACAAACCGCGACAATGAAATTGCTACGCTAGTAATTGGTTTAGGTGACGCTACTATTATTAACATAATGGGAGAAAATCCAACTGATATGCAAGACACACTGCAAATAGTTGTTCATGCATTAATGAAAATGGAAACTGTAAAAATGAAGCCCAGTTGCCTATTTGTACACCAGAATGTTGCAGATATAACAGCCTCTGACAGAAATACGGCACAAAAAAGGAAAATGACAAGAATGTTAGATGAAATCACAAAAATTGCTGCCAAGGAAGAAAACTGTAGTGAGAAATATCAGGTATTTTCCGACGTAATACACTTCCAGGAAAATAAACATGTAGTGTATATTTCTAGTCTTTGGCAAGGAGATCCCCCTATGGCCCCTCCCAATCCAGGTTACAGTTCGTGTATTCTTCAAGTAAGAGAAAAGGTCATTGATCTGATGAAAAACTGTGGTTGTCAAACAATAACAGATTTTCATCATAAACTCACTGATCTGTGGAGAGCGATATTATCCGAAAACTTTGTATTTAGTTTCAGAAACACACTAGAAATACAGGCATTTAATGCTCTCGAAACACAATATGTGGAACATTCTCGTACCTTGAGAAGAAATGCAATGATGTGCGTGAATATTCTTCGAACTGAATGTAAGAAGCTAACACCCTCCTTATTAAAATCGGAATCTGAAACTATACTGACCAGACACCTTACTACGTTAGATAAAGGAATCAAGAATTTCGAGGATGAATTGAATACTTATTTTATAAACAAACCGAAAGCACGTCAATGGAAAGGAAGAACGCAAATAAGGATGAATGAATTGTGTCAAGACCTAAGAAAATCACTGAAGGAGGAATTGATGGCGATGAAAAAGAGAATAATTGGGAGAGCTAAAATCGATTCTGATATAAAAGCGTATGAAAAAGACATTCGCAAAAAGGCCAAAGGTCTTGCAGACGAGTTTAGGACTAAAGAAACACATAATGAAGTAACGGAAGAGAGACTTAAAAGAGAGTTTGATGTAAATTGGCTCGAATGGGTTTCAGATATACCTGATCAAGATGAGCCTGTACAAATAACATTGATTTTGGAAAAAATATCTAGAGATTCATTTCCTTTACATAGCGACAAAATGGTAATTGATATTTTAAGTAATCGCACATACGTTGGTTTTGTGACAGAGCTAGACATCAAAGTCAGTAAGTTTAGAGATCGCATTCCGTATTTTGGTTGTTCCGTAAGTTCATGTATTGATATTGCCCGTAATTGCATAAATTCTATAAAATCAGACTTAGTAAGGATGATTGAAGGCTACAAAAGTGAAGGTAAGACTTTTAATGAACAAATCGGCAGAGCCTTTGTTGAGATTGTACGAAAGCGACTAAATGATGTGAAGACGACTGACAAGTTCATGTTTACTCATAAAGGATTGATTAGAAATACAATTCACATTCTGTTTTCCTTAGAGGATATGCTTAATGATCTTCAGGAGGCTTACAGAAAGGAAACCGACCTCAAACAATACATGGAATGCCAAAAGAACAGATTATGGCAAATGTTTAGAGATGAGTGTACTATCGTACACTTAAGCGTTTCTGCAAGTTTTGCTGTTTCTCGTGATTTGGTTAGTGTCATAAATAATTCTCTTATTCAAAACTGCATAACAGGAGTCATCGACCATGTACGTACATCCAGAAGTCAAACGTTTGCCAACAAAATGAGCTACCATGCACAACTTTTGATAGATTTGGCAGAAAAGAAGAATTTTCAAGCTTTCCGAATGTATTTGGCAGATCCATGTAATTATATGGACGAGTTGATGACAGAAATCTTGAGAGAATTCTGTACAGCAACTAGTGGAAGAGAAACTGTGTTGCAAAGCATATATTCACAAAAGATCACTGAATTATTTAGTAAAGCAAGAGCAGCGATTCATGATACATGTAGAAGCTTACCATCGGCATGCAGTATGAGTGTTTGGTGGCCAAAATTAATTGAATATATTGGTGATGAATTTGATGTAAAACCAGAAATAGGTTTTCTTAACAGCGACGATACGTTTGAGGTAAACGAGCTGAATGATAAGCTATTGACTGAATTAAAGAGGTCTGAAGAAGACATGCAGGATGAATTCAGTATGGATTATTTCGCCGAACTTATTGAGCCTTGCAAAGAGTTTTTTAAAACAGATCTTCTCGGTTGCCTTGAGTTATGTCCATTCTGCAAAGCACCATGTGACCTTCAGGCTGGTGACAAATATGATGACCATCGTACAGAGTACCATCGGCCACAAGGAGTCGGTGGGTATCGTAGGGTGGACACAGGCAAACTTTGTGTCAACGTATGCACTTCATCTGTAATGACAGACGCTAGGTTCAAAAATAAAGACACTGATGGCACATACCATCCCTACAAAGACTATCAAAATGTTAATAAATACTACAAAGCCTGGAAGATCCAGCCGATAGCAAGTGATTCGCAATTGTACTGGAAATGGTTTATGGCAACTTACAATGAAGAACTTGCTGAATACTACAATTGTCAGCCAGCGGATATTCCATATGGATGGACGGAAATTAGCTGGGAAACAACAAAGGACGACATGATTAACACATATAATCTATAATAAGCACTAAAAATAGTAAAGTGCAAAACAATCAAATTATTATATAGGCCTATACCTATATAAAACTCATAATACACTCGTTGTAAATTGACATTTAATTTATCAACCTGTCAAAAAAGCCTTGTTGTATGTCTGGTCAGTTTGATATAATCAAAAAAGTAAATGGCTTTTAGTGTTTTGAGAAGTGTAATATATATTTTGTGATAGCAAATGTTGATTATATTAAGTTGCTTTTTGAGACAATGTAATTGTTAAGCTCTTTTTTTAGACTTGATAGAAAATCCAATGCAACATTTATCAGTTGTTTATCGTTAGATTAGATTTTTTCTAAAATATATCAGATACAGTATATGAATTTAAATATGATGTTGCTGTGGTTGTTTTCAACAAAAGAACTTGATGATTTTAAAATTAAAATAAACCCTTTAATGTCTTCTATCTGAATAATTTAGTAACTCCTTTTTCATGTGTTGTAACACAAGACTCATCTTGTGAAGACAGCTCACAATTGATTGTAAAACAATGATATGTGGTGAAACAAATATTTAGTCAATTAACACAATGAAAAACAAATCAAAATTAAGAATGTTTATAACCCATTTGTTACATAGTGAAATGTGATAAATGGGATAGTGTCTGTATAGATTTACGTACAGTACATTGATATCTGTGATGAATAGGTTAATAGAATGTTGAAGTACTTTATAATGGTGGCCGTATACACTTTTTTAAGTACTTTATCATTCTGTTACGTAACATTGTTTATGTTGATCACGTAAAATGCTTTGTTAAATGTTATTTATCTGGTAATAGTAGGGACGTCATCCTTCACGTCGACTGATGACACGTTTCTTCCCCCGTCGGGGACATCGGTTCCTCACCGTCGGGCAATCCTGGCACCACTCTGATTGTTAATGGTGGCCACGTGTACTTTTTGGTAATATTGTTATTGGTGGCCGCGACTATTGCTCTGTTTTAAATTATGTTTGGTAAAATTGTTAATGGTAGCAATGTAGGCATAATGCTGTTTTAACGCACTTTACCTTGTAATAATAATTGTTAATCGTGACCACGTATATAATACTCTGTCTTAGGTATCTGGTAATTTGTTAATGGTAGCCTCGTATAATGCGCTGTTTAAGTACTTTTTGGTAGTATTGTTAATAGTGGCCACGATGGTATTATAATGCTCTGTTTTAATTAGGCCTACTGTACTTTATCTGATAATATTGTTAGTGGAAATCACGTGTAATTACTATGTTTCCTTTATTAATATTGTTAATGATGGCTACGTGTATAATGCATTTCTATTTACCAGTGACTAAGTGTGTATGTGTAAATATTATATTATTACTGGAAATGCTTTCACCAATAAAATGTAGTTATTTTTTTGCAAATTATTGGAAAAAAATCCACCATAGAAATATACATTTAGCACTGTGTACAGTTATTCGGTATCTGTCACTTCTTTTTATTGTATCACACTGTACTTGAATACTACTGACAAACTTCTTATATTATTATCATGTAAATGTTGACCAGGTTGTGGACTATGAGGTAAAAAATACATAACTGTTTTTTTTTGTTTTTTTTTTAGAAACGACAGTGAATTATTGTTCCATTTTAAATAATCACTTATATCTGATAACGAAAACATATACATTATGACTTAATCACTACTGTTACTGATAAGCTAATTATAATACATATTAATGCGCAGGCATATATTCTTGTACAGTACTATTATATAAACGTTAACCAAGTTGCGGACTATGGGATTAAGAATACATATTGGTTTTGTTTTTTTGTTTGTTTTTTTTTCGAAATGATAGTTAATTATTATTCCATGTTAGATAATTATTCATATATTATTATAATCCTGAAAACGAAAATATTTTTACAATATTGTATTACATTTGGCTTGTCTTATTCGTATAAAATTGCAATAGACCGAATTAGTCATCAAAGTTAACGTCATCGCGATTTCCTTTAGTGGGTATGAACAACTTTGGACGTTTATTTATAAGGAATATTTACCAAAGCTTTTCGATAAGTTTGTTTACGATAAAATGTACAAATAAACAATTTTGAAGAGTTTGAAAACAGTAAAATTTATTAGAGTGGAGGCTTATTATTGTTTGTAAACACTGTCACCTAGCGGCTTGTGTTGATGTTATACCCACTAAAGTAACTTTGTTTTGGTGACTAATTCGGTCTATTGAGAAGCGATACATTTATCGTTTTTATTATTGTATGTAGTGAATTTTAATTGTTTATAGATACACTTTATAGATGCTTTAGCTTTATGCTTTATTGTAGTATGTAGGCCTATTATAGAATTCTGAGTTATATTGTGTGGATTGCAGTGTCGATGTGTTACATTTTAGCCTACTTATACTATTCGAAATGGCGGAGATGCTATGCATTATGTCTTGCCGTAAATTCTGTTCTAATTTTGTATTAGTCTAGGCAAACATCGATATAAAACATACGATATAATATTTATGTCCACGTAGCATATAAATAGATGGAATTCAGATTCAACTTATTGTACTTATTTTTATTGTTCTGTAAACATTGAGATAACCAACGAGCAAGTATTTTCTACATGTGTAATAACTACAATATTATAATAGCATCTGAACAAATAAAAATAATAATTGCATAAAGCGACATCCCATTGTATTTAAATATACAGTATGCATATAAGATGACCAAAAATATAAAATTCTCTGTTTCCCCCCCCAAATTATACCCGATTGGTTTTGGTCTTAAATTCATTTATAATCCCTTTGTCATGGCTTTACTTTTTAATTTCGAAGTAGGCGTACAATTTCAACAGTCAATAGTGTCGTCATAACCTCTGTAATTCCCGCCATTGTGTAGACCTTTTGTCCTGTATTACACTTTTATGTTTGACATTTGGTTGACTGATTAAATTAGTGTCACGTAGAGGACATTTTAAAAATAGACCTATTTAAAAAAAAAAAGTAATTGCAGTGTATTTTTAGCCGTCAATGATGGTTTGATAGTTTGTCTAAAATGGTTTAATAATTTGTTGAAGATATCGCCAATTACATACTAAAATACATAGGCATATATCATGTCTGTATGCATTCTTTTACATTAGATCTTGAATATTATGGTAGTAAAACATATTACTGTAGTTAAGATAGTGGTGGTGGTGGTGGCGGTGGTTGTTGTATATGACTTCAGGTGTGGTGTTGTATAGGCCTAGTGGTGATAGATGGTGGTGATGATAGGCCTAATCATCCTATGAAACGTGGTACTATTCGACTTCCAATATCTTAGTAGCTTCATAAACACTAACATTAGAGATTTTGAAATAAGAAAAGGAAAAGCATGGGCTGCACTCAACAAAAAGAATGTATAGCATGGAAGTCCGGTAAACAGTGCCATCAATTTACAACTATTCAGAGGCGCAGTTGAAACAGTTCTCCTATATGATTCGGAATGTTAGACATTAACAAAGACTCTTGAAAAACGAATTTTAATAGCTGTCATTCACACATACCTAGAGCAGCAACGAATATGAAACGTCACAGAAAATCAGTATTATGATTATATTTATCTCGAATTTCCAAAACTCTTCTCCCATAAAATATATCCTAGAGCCGTCACTGCTCCAGTGACTGATAGAGACGAATGTAGGATACTAGTCAAATAAGTCCTGGTACGTCCCTGCCTAAGTAAGTAAGTAAGGAATAAAATACAATTAATTATTACTTTATTCCAAACAAATCCAAATCGTACGATATTTACAAAAAGAAAATGAAAGGAGAAAATTTTAACAAAAAATTAAAGTTAAATATATTAAAACATAGGAAAGATCGAAAACATTAATCAAAATGAAACATTTTAAATACATCAAAATTTAAAAGTAAAAATGAATGCAAATAATAATAATAAAATTAAAATAAAATACAAACAGGTAATTATAGTGTAGGCCTACATAAATAACAGCACATGCCGTTGAGATATTATTATTGTCAAACAATTCAAGTTAATAGAGTTAAAAAAAAAAAAGAAAAGAGTGGAGGTACAAGGTGATGCTTCTTTTATGTGGTATAATTTACTGTAGTCAAAATTTGAGGGCTATATTTAAGGCTACAAGTCTAATGACAATGTTAACGTTATTGCCTGCATATTCCATCGAATACGTTAACTTACAACTGAAAAAATTAATACTGTAATTACTTTAAGGTTTAAAACTGTTTCATCGATAATAAACCATCCGTGGTTGAAAGTGGGGGAGGGGGAAAACAAAATTAAAATTAAGAAAGCCTTGGGTCTGTCTCTTATACACATCTAGATGTGTATAAGAGACAGTAGTAGGGACGTCATCGTTCACGTCGACTGATGACACGTTTCTTCCCCCGTCGGGGATATCGGTTCCTCACCGTCGGGCAATCCTGGCACCACTCTGATTGTTAATGGTGGCCACGTGTACTTTTTGGTAATATTGTTATTGGTGGCCGCGACTATTGCTGGCACACTACGACTGTGAAAGTCATGTTTTGGCTTGTTGCAGGCCTGTTTTTTTTTTTTTGGTTGGACTGCCTGACGAGCTTGGCCGGTGGGGGTAGAGGCTTGACTTGTCCGATGGGGCCCTCTGCCCCGCCACTGCTAGGGCCCCGATGATGGTCCAGGGGTGAAGCCCCCGGAAGATCAGACGCCTTTAGTTTTTTATAAGTCGTATCTAATTGATTTTAAGGAATGCAATTAAACATTTATTTTCACATTTTCAAAATACAGTTATGGATCCCTGAATTTGAAATAGAGGTGGGCCCAAGGAGGGATTTTTACAGATGGAGAGTGGAGTCCACCTCAGCACCACCATGGTTGGAAATAGAGGGAGACAGGGAGGGACTTGCACTCATAAAATCGACGTAGTGGTTACTGAAATGGTTACGAAATATACAAACAATTGCGTTTTTACTCAGTTTTTGTCTGAAAATACGCATTGCCCTTGGAAAAGT